AATGAGAAACAAAAAGATGAACAGTTGAAAATAATCTATATTATAAAGTGTTATTTAATTATAATGAAGTTAATCCCTAGTTTTTTTGGCTTCTAATCAGGTATTAATAGTAATAATAATAATAATTTCACTCTAATGAGTGGTAAATATATAAAAGAGAATAGATATTACGTTTTAACTTTCATAATTTGATTTGATTTTCATTGTTCAGTATCCACTTGACATTCCGTATTAAACATCAAGTATAGTTTAATGTCAATATGAAAAGTTAACCACTAACTAATAGTGAAATAGTTGAAATTAACTATAACGGTTAAATAATAGATTATTACGTTTTCTTGTTTAATAGACATGCTTTATCTGTTTATAAAGTTTGTTCAAATTCAATAAATGTTTTTTCTCTTTTCGTGTATCAGTCCAAACGTTTTACATATTGATGGTCATTTGAGCTCTGACGGTTATAAAACATTAACTGTTGTTATCAGAAAAGATGGATAGTCCCGAAATGAACATCAACTCTGCGATTTAGGTGCACCCAGCTGATGACTCCCAATTGAAATTGAAAGCGTGTTCTGGATTCCACTGTTAACCACCATCCATCTCCATTTATAATGCCTGCGACTTAAGGTAATATAGAAGCGATCCGCATAGGATGCACACATGCTAATAATAAACAGATCAATTGCAGTCTTAAACATCAATGAGACGATTTAGACAAACAACACAAAAATGAATAAAATGTTATTCTTAACTAAAGTTGGATGGTGGCTAACAGTGGATTCAGGGAGGGTATTTGTTCTACTTAGGATTTATCATCTGAATGAACCTGCATTTCAATGTTAATATTGACTTAATGACTCGAAACTAGTGTCTTTCCTATCAGACATTTAACACATTATTCAATTGGCTATTGAGTCTAGATAGCTACTGGCTTGTGTAATGACGACGAACTCTATTCCATTTGTCTTTGAATTTTCTGTTTGTTGATGTTAGGTTCTGTAACAAATCTGTCAGTTCGTTTTATAAGCCAGTGGCTATCTTGATTCAGTAACTGCATGTATAATGCGGTTCGTGTTTAAAGTAAAAGACACTAGGTTCCTCCAGATGATTAGTCCTAAATTGAACGAAACACTCTTCCTAAGTTCCACTCCTAGCTACTATTCAACTTCTCATAGGAACACTTGTAAATTAATGGTGTAATAGAGGTAATCTGCTGAAGATGCACTCGTATCAAATGAAGCTGATTAGCTCCGATCCTTAACATCAATAACTGAAAGATCCTAAAAATTACAAAAGAAGTAAGAATAATTGGTAGTCTGTACCAATTATAACGACATTTACCGTTTTCTGTTATTTTAGGCAACTTTCCCGTGAAATAGAACTATTAGAGTATTCAAATTTTTTCTTGGTTTTTAGTTCATTTCACGTTATTAAGGTCAGTTAATTCTGTTTACAAGTGTAAATATAAAAAAGTATAGATACATCCAACATTTAATATATTTAGGTAGATAAGCACTGAATGATTTCCAATTTATTATCAGTCCAACACATAGCATTACTTGATTAACTTTTGGGTCGATTAAATACCTTGAGTACAACCATCATACAGTACTTTTTGATAAGTCCACTATTATTAACAAATGAAAGTTAACTGAAATATTAAAATCCATATTTTTAATAACATACTCAGCATGTAATTTTGCTCAGTGGTCATGTATGCATATTTTTACGTTATTCTATAACAAGAAATTAAAGTACACTAATAATAGAAAAGTTACGCTTAATACCGTATTTGGAGTTTTATAGGCGTCAATTTTGTACTGTAATCATAGAATGATTGAATCTTACGTATTTTAAACAAACTTTAATAACATATTATTAAAAATAGTTTATTATCAGTACAAGGTTTTGTGGAATCATAGAATTTTTATAGTTTCTAGCTATTAACTGATCTTTGATAAACCACCATTAAAAATTAATAATCACCGAACAGCTATGTTTTCGGACTATGGAACTCTTCAGCAGTGAACATCAACGACTCCCCCTTCCAGGAGTCGAACCCAGGACCTTTGATCACACATGCAAACGCTAAACCTGCAGAATAAACTAAGATAATTAGAAAAACTATGTGCGTGTAGATAAATGTTTACATGTTTTACGTCTTGTACTTTTATGAGTTCAGTTGGATATCAGATCTAGAAAATTCGGCTTTTCAATCGTACGAATAAATTTACGAACTAGTAAACATTTTCACAATTAAACAAGAATTGTATCATAATGAGTTTTCTTGGTTATAAATTAATACTTGAATAATTTCTGATATCACAGTCATCTCGTTGAGATTACAGACTCATATTAAACTGATAAAAACTTATTTCAGAATGGAGGTTTGTGAAGATTGTAGTAATTTTAATAGTTGAACTCATGATTCGATGTAAACCATGACCGGTGGAGTTCAATCCGTGTCGATTAAAGACATGCATCTACCTCAATGGATGATGGATGAATGGTTGAGCAAGATCATGGATCGGTTGAATTTATACATTAACACCGTTTGATGCCGGTTCAGTGGTGAGGCGTTCGCGCGCGATACCGAAGATCCTGGGATCGAGACCCGCATTTGGGATCGTGGATGCACACTGTTGAAAAGTCCACTGCTAGGACGGAACGACCGTCCAGTGCTTCCAGATTTTCAATGATTGTCTAGCTTAAGTGGACTCATGAATTCAACCATTAACATAAATTCTCAACTTATATTTTATACTACCTATGTGACTATTATATTTAAATTGCAAAGTATGTTGGTTAACACTAACTTTATAATATACATATAGTTCATAATAGTTGGGACATTAAAAAGAAGAGATTTTAATCACTTAGTTTAGGTGGTTAAGGTTATTTCTCGACTGAATATACATAACGAATAAATAAACAAATACTGAATATGTTTCTGTAGTTATTATCATTGTTGTTGTCATAACGATTATTTTAAATTTAAACAAACCTAACTTTATTGAATGAATCAAATTGTTCCAATTTTTTTATAAAAAAATATCGAAACATCTTAACTTTTATTCAGTTAATGTCATACATAAATATTTAAGGATAAAACCTTTTATACCCAGTAGATATAGTATGAAGATGTATCTATAGTAATTCACATGTAAAGAAAAACAATATGAATAAAGCGGAAAAACATTTTACTCATAATTAAGAGTAGAACCTACAGAAATCAAATTTAAGAAATAAACAAACACGATTTTATCATACAACTAACAAAACAGTTTTGGGATGTAATTTTATAAATTTGTATAAAGGTGGTAACATAAGTTACAAATCAATATTTAATGAACAGATATAAATAATACTAATTATACTGAACAAAATTACATAAGCTATTTAAGTACATAAGCATTAAGTTAATTATGTAACAGTAAATTAAATTACCATATTACATCATAATGAGTGAAGTGATTTTGTCTAATAACATATTTAATTAAAATGAATGTGATTGGTTATAAACAATGATTATACTGTTTTTATTTGCCTATACATCATCTTTTCATGGACTTGTTATTTGATTGTGCACAAAATCTATTATTATTAAAGTAAACAAATTACTTATTTTGTAAAATATTGTTCATTGAACAATTTTAGAACTCATCAGTTGTTTAAAGCGTTATTTAGTAATGAAATAAGTATAAGTAGTATTAAATCATTTAATAAATTAAATAAATAACTAAAAAACAAAATTTTATTTAACACTGACCACAAATAAAAACTATAGATTTAGGAAACTATCGATAATTATTGTTTACTGTCTTTTTTTTAGTACTAGAAGAACACATTTGAAACAATAAAGTACATTCACGAATAGCCAGATATTCTAAATTAACTAAATCAACTAATCATGTCTGTAAATGAAGTAGTAAATTAAAAGAGAGTAATCATAAATTAAACAGCTGAGTAATTGCAGAAGAAGATTAGATTCTAACGTTGTGGTTAAACCTACCTCAAAATAAAAGTCATAGCTTAGATTCTATGGTTACAAGATACGTATGAGATCGTGGGTGTTCACTGCTTAGGAGTCTCATAGTAGGAATTTTGTAATTTAAAGATAGTTTTTGTCAATAATTGGTATAAAATGATTCATCATTGAGTATTGAATACCTTGGAAATTCACAAAGTTATACATGTATGATTGCAATATTAGATAAAATCTAAAGACTTTAAGGTTTACAATAAATACAATACCATTAGTCCAATAATTTTAAATAATAAGGTTCATATAATGAAAAAAAAAACAAATTTAAGCAGTTTAAATCTGTCTATAAATCATTAGTGATTTCATCTAAAAGTAGAATCATGAATTCTAACACTACTAACATTTTTCTTTAGGCAACTATATTTTCTTTCTGTTTCATTCAATTACTTATGTAATTGACTTCTCAAGTGTTTATTGTGATGAATTTAGTTATTGTTCTTGTTAATAGTATTAGCTTTATCCAATATTATGTTTTTGGTACAATATAGAATTTTCAATACAAAGTATTTCAACAAGTTTCTTATTTCTTGATCGATCTTGACGATAAATATTAAGTGATTGCCAATTAGAAGTTAGCAGTCCAGTCAATCAACATCGAAATAATGTGTATATTTTTTATCGCTGTATATTACCAGTCATCACGATATCTTTGATTGAACCTTTTATAACTTATACAACAAAATGTTGTACACTTTTTTAAAAACGCATCTGTGAATAGGTTATACAATTAATATCTATAATGATGTATTCAAACAAACAAACAAACTTAGATAATATTTTGAAATATCTAGATGAAAGAAACAAGTGACCTAAATGTTCAAAGAGGTTGCCAGTTGTGTTTCTTTCTTCTTCTTCTTCTTTAGATTAGAAATAATTGAAGAAGTGTCAATTGAAAAGATAAAATAATCCATTCATTTCTACTTTGTTTTTCTTTTTCTCTTTTTTCATATTTTAGATGAAAGTTAATTGAACTTATTCAATTAATTTAACATTCATTAACAAGATTTATTTTTAATGTTTCAATGAATTATTTATTATATAATTTGTAATTAAATTTCTATATGGATAAACAAACATATCAAAAAATTAATTATTATTCAAATATACAACAAACAAATTATACATTTGATGTAGCTAAAGAAATTTTACCAGTTAAATTATTAATTATTATATTATATTCATTTATTACATTAATAGGTGTAACTGGTAATCTATTAGTTGTATGGATTGTATTACGTGTTAAATTATTACAAACAATAACTAATATATTTATTGCAAATTTAGCTATTTCTGATATTTTAATGAGTCTTGTAGCTACACCATTTACACCATTATCATTATATATGAATGATTGGACATTACCTGAAGCTGTATGTAAATTATTACCAACTACTATGGGTGTTTCTGTTTATGTATCTACATTAACATCAATGGCTATTGCTTTAGATAGATTTTTTGTTATTGTACATCCATTTTTACCAAGAATGAAAGTATGGTTATGCTTTATTATTATATTTACTGTATGGATTATAGCTGTACTTATTTCAATGCCATTAGCTGTTTATCAACAAAAGCATAAAGATCCTATTAATAATGTATCAAGTTGTCGAGAAAATTGGCCTAAAGAATCATCACGTGAAGTGTTTACAATTGTTAGTTTCGTTTTACAATTTGTTATACCATGTAGTATTATTTCAGTATGTTATTTTCGTATAAGTTTATTATTACGCGCTAGATTACATACACAAATTGGTAGTGGAACTAAAACACAAATGAAAGAGGAACGTGAAATAAAACGTAAACGTCGAACAAATACAATGTTAATAGCTATGGTTGTAATATTTGTTATGTGTTGGATACCATTAAATATTTTATGGATGGTTATGGATGTACATAGTGAAGAACAAATAAATGATGTACAAAATTCTAAACATTTCACTTTAATATTTTTTATATGCCATTTATTAGCTATGAGTAGTGCTGTATATAATCCATTTCTATATGCATGGATGAATAGTAATTTTCGTAAAGAATTTCATCGTATTTTACCATGTTTTTTTTTAAAATCAAAATTTTATACAAATCAAATTACTACACAAACTATTGGTGGTGAATATACAGCTATACGTATAAATTATCTTAATTCAACAAATCAACTACCATCAACTATTCATAAAACTAATGAAGAATTCAAAGAGACTAGTCAAATTTTATCAAATAAATTAAATTTAAATCATAAATCACAACAAACTAATAAAATTAATCTTGATAATGAAATCAATAGCAGTAATAACAATAATAATAATAATGATAATGATAATACTTTTATCAGTCATATTGATGAAACAAATAAACAATATGATGATAAACAATTGATACATAGAACAGAAGTGACAATTTGTCATAATCCATCAAATGATAATTTAAACAAAATTAATATAAATTTAAATGATCAAATAGAAATGAAAAATATAGATGATAATGATAGTAATGATGATCAATTACTTGAAAATACAAATTGTTCACAAACATTGAACCTTGAATGAATTTCTTTTTTCTTTTTTTTAAAAAAAAATTTGGCTCGAAATATTTACAGATTTTAATCATGATAAGCAATTAAAACAAGAAAATTATTTTTTTTCTGTTGAAATTTCTATATTATACAATATAACTTACATCTTTATGTTGTTATTGACATGCCAAAAATTATATATATATATGTATATTTAGTTTTTTTGTGTTTTTTTTAGTGAATCTTGATTAACTGACAGACGGAGTATTTCATACTTATTTACTATACTATTGAATTAATGAAATAAAAATAATTTTCTAGAACCTGTTTTTTTCCATAGATCATTAAATAAGGTTTATGGTAATGTTGATGGAGTTTTATTCTCTGAACTGGATGGTTTGATCGTGGAGCTTTCATTGTCATTCTTAACGATATCATTAGCACAAACTACAGGTAGAAGGTTGATCCGATGGTGGATTGGTTATCATATTCGCCTCACACGCGTAAAGCCCTCAGTTTTAAACCGGGTTGGACCAGGTTAACCTGAGGTTTGCTGTAATATTTGACTATTTGTTAGTTCACAAATGAAATTAAAGGAGTTATCAGACAAAGAATAGAGAATATTATCCAATGGCTCAAAATATAATATGGATAAGGGATTTTGGCTTAATTGCATATATTTCTTCAGAAATATTTCAAAGGTTAATCTTGTAAATAAATTAGTTTTTAAATCTAACAATCTTGGTAACTTTTATGAATTCTATTAAATAAAATGTTGGAAGTCTCAATGACTAATGGGTTAGACATATTGTAATGCCCAAAAGATTACCTCGTATATCTTGAAGAGTAAGTAACAAGTGACCGTAATCCAGAACTTATACGTGCTTTCATAAATGTGATATTTCATTTTTATGTAGATCATCGTTAGTGTATCCTGGATGTTTTAAAACATTTGTTTTCTGACTTCTTAACAAATACTTGTACGGTGATCTATAAGAGCCAGGCAGTAGAAAAAGAATTTATATTTCAATGTTAACTTATGAGAAAGTTTCCTGTAACCACTTTTTTTTATCCACTGAAATAGCTAGTCATCTCAGATGCTATTCCATTCGTTATGGTCTGATTTGATTAACTGAGCATTAGGTCGTTTTCTTATGATTTGTAGTGTCGCAACGACTTAAAAATAAATTTCTGAAAATTTGTTACCTTGTGAAACAGTTTTTTATAAGAATAAATAACTTATACACCTAAATACATATTACAATAAAATCTTATTTAATAGGCAAAAGCAAAACCAATTGTTTATATCAAAGTTGAATGGAATTTTATACTTGGAAATACTTGAATAAGTATTATTAACTATTAAGAGCAATAAGCAGACCAATATAATACAGTTGATACAGATAATCTTATCGAACTACATATGCATAAATTCCTTAATACAGTTTAGCTACTGTGACAAGCTTATCTCATATGCGAACAAGAAAGAACGCAATATGAGTTTTCAAGTTTTGATCCAGTTTTCATTAGTAGCAGTTATCTATTTAAACTAATTCATTGCTGGAAACTTAAATCTTGTTAAAATATTATCTATTTTGAAAACAAACGCTTCACCAAAATATATTCAAAATGATAATAGTCATGTTAGTCTCATTTCGTGTACCCTTGAATATTTAGTTGAACTCATGAGTAGTGTACAATACGTTTGTTTGTTTATTAGTTGACTATATACATAGTTCTATTCTGGTTGTAAACTGTACCTTAGTGATTTGTTCTTGTTATGTTTTCTGGTCCATGTGAAATATACTGTTCCATAAATCTCTATATCTGACTCTTGGTTTTGAACTATTCGATTTTCGGTGAACTGACAGTATTCAAGTCTTTAATTATCACGATGTAGTTTTAAACAATGGAAGACTGGAGTCAAGCCTAGGTAAGACAAACCTCAAATAAAATATTGAAATACACTTTGGATTATGCTTTTGTCAAGTTGACACATTTTATCAATCCAAATAACCTTTAATGTCTTAACGAAAAGCGATTGTTTTCTACTTATTTAGCTTTATTTTAGTTTCAACAAAGTATTAGTCTTAAGAATAAATATATAATAAACTTAAAACACAGTCAAATTCATAATATTTTTCATATTTGCTAGCGAAATCTTAATATATACTCCCCCAAAAGTAAACATTCCATCATCAATTTATTAATAAAATAAAATTGGTGGGAAACGGGTTACATAGTAACCAAACGCATGTCGCCAAAGTGGTTTGACGTGGCATTAGGAAATGAAGTCCTTGATGTCTGTATTTTTGATGCCTGACATTTAATATTTTTCTTGATGCATGTTAGCTCACTTCATCACGGGGTTAAAGTTATCATAAGACCGATAAATCCATAATCAAAGTAAATTTACATATGTGACAGAGATATAATTCTGTTCTGTTGTTCATATTTCAAGTATATGTAGGTCCTCTTAATACTTGCCATCCGTAATCACTATTTTGGATAGCTCTCAGAAACTCACTATGATCATCAAAATCAATGTTATAGAAACTAAATAAAACTGATTGCTAGTTGAGAAACAAAATGATTGGTTCATACTCAGCATAAAGTAATGATGGACTTCGAATGGAAAATGTTTGCCAGATACATGGGATTGCAATTAACTGAATATAAAATTCCTGTTTGTTCATATACTCCACGTATCAGCTACAGAAAATTAAGTAAGTTCAAAGGATCGAGTGCATTTTAACAACTAGTATGGTTTGAAAAGAATAATGAAGACCTAATATTTAGTACATTTATTCACAAAGCTATACAGAATAATGTTGACGACAACTTCAGTAAAAATACGTTCTACTCCTACATTTTTGTGAAGTGCTCAGCAATAGGAACAGCTTTTCACATTTAAAATGTCATTTGAAAACGCAAGTAAAGACATAAACAATCTGTTATTAGATGAATTAGTTCGAGGAACCCTATGTCAAAATAAATATATGTTGATCAACACACACAGAATGTGAATGTAAGTCGACATGTAGGGATCGGGACTTTCGAGACATTTTCCATGGTAGGTTTCAATGACAAACATCATTCCTTCTTTAGACAGACATTATTTCGTCAGCATTTTTTACTGGTAAAGCTCTTAAGATGGAATATATTTTTGAAAAAAATGTGGATATAACTATCATCAATTCATAACTAGATGGTCTATGGTCAGTGAATTCAGATGCCGTATGTTACAAGTCGATGTGTTGTTTTGAAAAAGAAGTCTTGGATTTAACCACTCAAAAAATGTTAGACACCATTTTGAATGGGTGGCACAGATATATTCTTCTGTAAATGCACGATTGGTAATAGTTTTAATAGGAGTAGATTATAGCGAGACATTTACTGCATCTACCCAAAATCCTGAGATGTAGTTGTAAAAGTTTCGTATTAACACGGTTAACACAAACGGTTAATACTTAACTAAAATTATATCCTCAAATACGGTCTACAGTTGTACGAGTACTATTCTCATTTAATTCTCAGATGTGGACAAAAACTCCATTAAATAACAAATATCCCTTATTCTCTCCAAACTATCCTATAGAACAAAATCTTTAAACCTCTTAACTTATAAATCTGTATTTGAAAAAGTAAATCTAACATCTCTACACTCTATGCTTTTTATTCACAGATATCATTATTCCTGTCTAATTCGGCATACAATTCCCACTCTGTCTGTTTATGTAGTCACCAAACTGTAAGACTGTCTAATGTAAACGGTGTGATACTCGCCTAGACTGAAAGTTCAGTATGTTGTTACTATCACTCTGACTTATTATGGATAAAAATTGGGAATGTAAAAATTAAATCTATCTAATATTCTGCATGATATACACCAAAATACTGATTGCAATAGCAGCGATTTATATTGTTCGAAAAATTTTATTCACAAAGTTTGCAACAAATACAAACAATTAACGTCAACCACGAACATATACTCTCTAAATGATAAGATCTTGAAAAATCTCGATATTAGAGTTTGTACCGAGACTACACACAATCTCCTGGATCCCACACCAGCCAATAACCTAAGGGATGGTTGCTTTCTAGCATGTGATATGCTGGAGATCGACTGACCGGTCACGTATCTCAGAAAAAAATAAGACGAATGAACTTCCACTTGCTATTAAAACTTGGTTGTTTTGGAGATATGTAGCATTTTATTAATCCAGATGAAGATAATAGCCTTTTGATCCCGTCTAAAAATATGAGTCACTGGAAACCTAACACCTTTCGGTCATCGTGTAGGAAAAAGGGAACCAACAAGAACCAATTTAAGACAACTATTGATACAGTAAAAAGAATCATAAACCTACGGTGAGCATGATTCAAGCAAATAAATGTTATAGCACTTTATAGAGTTAGATGGGCCAAGAAAGCATATATCTAGAGATAAAATATGTACTTGGATGGATATCAGCAAAAGCACACTTACATTTATAATTCCGGCTGTTCAAAGACAAGGTCCAGATGCTGAATATGAGACTTTCTTTCCAGATTTGCGATCAAGCAACCATCTACATACGCTTATACGAGGTTGAGACTTCGAATTACATCGTCAATGAATCTTTAGAAAGTTTGTGCAGCAGTTCCTAAACCGAATGGAATGCGCAAAAATCCGTAGAGTTCAATGGGTAGTGATGAAAGCGGTTCTATAGATGTCATCTACAGCTATGGTAATTTAATTATATGCTTTAACCAGGTCCATTTTCAAAAAAACCAGTTTTACTTTTCAAGGAAATTGTCAAATCGTAAGTGTCAGGCAACGGGTAACGATCAATAATGATTTTCTCATTCAGTCGCCGATAGTCACCAGTCGGACGCCAGCCGTTGCTGTCCTTTTTAAAGACAGTGTGCAAAAAAGATGTGCATGAGCTTTTTGATGACCGAATTATTTCTTAGTTCTATCATTCATAGACCCGTTTATTTGTAGAAATTACAACAAGGCTTAAATTTCTTGGCTTCAAGTAAAAACAACACAACGTTTTGAGTCATTTATTGAGTGTTTAGGGTTAGGGAGTGAACTCACCACGTCAATAGCTCTACCGAAGTTCAAAATATCTTCAATTAGGATTTACCTGTTCTCATATTCTTAAGGCTATGTACATTGGAAAAGTGTCCTCAGACATTATATTTGAGTTGGTCGGTTATAAACTATCACAGTCGGTTTAAAAATGGTCGATAACTGGTTTAAAAGTAATATTCCATAAACGTCTTCTTTAATAGCTAAGATTAAATAGACAAAAATCACGAAGCACAAATCTCCG